AGAAAATACATAAATTATATTCACTTATTTTGTGCTTTCTGATTACTCTTTAATTGCATGGTCCAATTCAGGTTCTTTTATCTTCCTCTATAGTTTTGCAAAAATATTCCCACATCTGTTCACATCAATCTTAGTCTAAGTTTCACAGATGACAACTTCATTATTTCTAACACAGGCTTTTGTTATTGTTGTTCTAAGTGTTGTGAGGTTTGCATAACCTACTCTTACTATTTCTGTGCTAATTAACAGCTAATTAAACACTATCTCTGAATGTTACTTCCATTGGATCATCACCTTTTATAATGGAACAACTAAGTATTTGCCTTTTTCACCTAAAATATTTACATTTACATGCAAAAAAAAAAAAAAAAGGAAACTACAGCTCATTCCAAAAACTTTTAATAGTTGACTTCATACAAAGAAGTCTAAGAGTCTGTCATCTTTAGATTCATTTTCATAGGTAATATAAAGTAAAATCAAACAGCTAAAAACAAACCCCTAATCCTCTTTTTCCTACCTAATGCAATTCTGCGTGCCGTCGCACTCCGTGTAGGTTTTTCTGGCTCAAGTACCCAGGTCTTCTCATCAATTTCATCCATAACATCCCAGAATGCCTTCAGTGATTCTAATGCTGCCAAAAACTGACTATGAATGCTTATTAAGGAGCTCTGTAAAAAAATGAAAGTTGAATAAGTTATATGGCACTCCACCAATAGCAGATAATCTTTCACTTAAAATGCACTCGATTGAGAAATTTTAAGCTCTGTTTCATTTCAGCTGCGAAGCAGATTTCAGTAAACAGAAGTCAACTGTCCCTGCTTCACATCCCTTCCCCTCCTTTAGCATTAACAGGATTTTTTACTGTCACTGTACACCTTATTGAGAAAGAATGTTTTTTTAAAACCACGTTTATTATTACAATGAATGTTATACTGTATTTATGGAATAGTAATTAGTCATACAAGATGACATGTATGTATAGCTTTATTAATGTATGTATCTAATATATTGGACACAATATATAATTTTGGTATGAAAATAATTTCATTTTAGCTGCAGCAATCAAGTAAAATGCAGTGTTATTTGTAATTTGATTAAATTTCCTTTAATTATTAATAAATAACTTTGCAGACCTAATTAGGCAGAATATGAAAAGGTTTTACACATTTTTTAAAGAATTCAAACAAATTACAAGTAATTTTTTCCCATGTTTAACTTTTAGCCTATCTCTGAATTTAGTATTTTCAGATATTAATCCTTTATGGGAATTAGCTTAAATATATTTTCACTAAATAATAAGTAAAACCATCACTAATTTTAAAAATTAATTTATATTTTCACTTTTAAACAGTCAGAAGTTTTTCATAAAATACATGTTAAAGATACAATTTACTAAATACTTCTGATATAAAAACCAATCAAAACAGTTTAAAAAAAAGAATTAAGGATTTTAATTATTGTTTCAAATAAGCAAAACATAAGTCACTGAAAATACTCCAAATATATTCATCTGAAATAACTGACCACACCAACAGTCCAAGAATATGATACACCCTAAGATGAAAAGAAAGTAGCCACTTCCTTAAACATGTATGTTGTATCTATGTTCTTAAGGAAAACCCATTTCATTCCATCACTTGTCTGAGTTTATGCGTGGACGAATTCAAGGCTAGGTTTCACCAAGCTGGATTCAACAGTTCTAACCTTCTACACATATTACAAAAAAAAAAAAACCAAAAAGTGTAAGAGTTAAGAATTAGAGCCTCATGTCTGAAAATAACCTTTTAGGATATTGAAGGTAGAATGTCTGTTCTCTTCTAGCGTACCATACTTATTTACAAGTTTAGATGACAAAAACCAGACACCAGAAAATTAAATTCCCAAGGAGCTAGTTTTTAAATCAGTACAATATTGTCTCTCAGCGTGTCTGCTTTCATTTATTTCTATATATGTGTATTTAAAATCTGTAATTACATATTTCATTGTGTACCCAACAAAGTTTAATCCCCCCAAAAAAGTTATGTTTTTACAGTGGCATGTTTTATTTGAAATTTATTATCTCCAATCACATTGCCCATTTCTTTTATGTACAACTGTAAATAAAATCCTAACTCTGTATTTTAAACAGAAAATAAAAGATTTTTTAAAATATGAGAAAACAGCAAAAAGCAAAATGACCCTGGAACTAGAAGTTACTTGGTAATTACATAAAAAGTGAATTTTAAACCCTAAAAGACATTATCTGATTTCACTAGATAGCCATGTGAGATAGATACATTAAATGGTATTTTTACATGGCAGACAAGAGGCCAAAAAAGACAAGTGGTAGACAGAAATATTCTCTTAGCAATTTCAATAACCTTAGGAGGTAGACATTAAAAATATTACATCAGTAAGCTATGTGATAAACTAATAGTTTTTTTCTCCGACTGCTTATTTTGTCCATTAAATCACTCACAAACCCTTATTTTGAATTTATTTCGCCAATTTTGTAAATATTAACAATGCAATTAAATATTCTATATACATCACCATAAATGCCAAGGAATAATATGACCGAAATTAAAATTAAAGTTCATTAAGTATTTTGCAGGGAGATGAGTTCTTTAAAATACATTTTCAAAAATAAAACTAGCCAACTTCTTATTTTGTAATATAAGCAGTCTCACATCTCACCAAAACTACTGTGCTACTGTTTTTTGGGTTTTTTGGCCAATTTGCAATGTGTAAAAAAAAAAAAAATGAAAGAAAATTTTTAGACAAAAGTGAGAGCACTAATATTAAGAAATAATATTAAAATAAAAATATAAACATTGATGAGGACATAAAGCAACTTGAATTCTCATATACTGTTGATGGGCATGTAAAATGGCAGAACTGTTTTTTAAAAGATTTGGCAACTTCTTTAAGAGCTAAATATATTCCTGCCTTAGGACCTAGCAATTCCACTCCAAGAAAAGTCAAAAGGTATGTCCATAAAACGACGTTTACCAGAATGCTCACAGCAGCTACATTCATAAGCACCAAAAACTGGTAACAATCCAGATGTCCATCAGTAGAAGAAAGGATAAACAAAGCCCAGTATTTTCATGCAGTGGTATACTGCTCAGGATTAAAAAGGAATGAACTACTGATACATGTCACAACATGGATGAATTTCAAAAACATGCTGGGTGAAATAAGCCCATGTACAAAAGAGCACATGCTCCTGTTTATATGGTATCTGGAACAAGTATAACAAAAGCTCTGTTTAAAAAAAATGAAAACAATGAGGTGTTACTGGGAAGGGACTGGATGATGATAATGTTCTGTATCTTGACTATGGATTGCATGGGCATATCCATTCACTGGAACTTGTACACTTAGGATTTATGCATTTTATTGTTTCCAAATTTTATTAATACAAAGAACTGAAATTTCGTTAAACATATACACGCTGACGTATTTTGAAGAAAGTTTCTGATACCTGCAAATTATTTGGAAGGCACTAATAATTAAATGGATTTATGGATGGATAGAGGATAAGTAACTAGAAGGTTATGTGATAAAGCAAGTATAGTAAATGTTAACTGTTGAATCTAGGTGGTGGATATATATGAGTATTCACCATTAACTTTTTCAATGTTTCTGTATGTATGAAAATTTATAATAAAATATTGGGGGAGATGGATCTCAAAAATATGAAATAACTTTTATAAATTATGTGAGTTACTTATAACTG